TTTGTATATATGTAAAGAAATACTGAGGTGTAAACAATTTTTCCTTAAACAGAATCAACACAATTATTCAAGGCAAGAAATTCAAAGCCTACATCTCCATATCGTGTTGTAAGAGACCTAGAATTACAACAGCTGGTGAAGCATCTAGGAAATAACTGGAAAGCATTTGGCCGTGAACTTGGATATAGCAATGAAGACATTTATGTATTCGAAAGAAATAACCAATCCAATGTCACAGATGCAATGAATGACATGCTTCAAGCTTGGAAAGCTAAATTTGGAAAGGAGGCTACGGTAGGAAAACTTGTCCATCATTTGGACAATTTTGAGCATATCAATCCAGAAAATTATGCATTCCTGATAAATGATACCAAGAAAGATTAATTCAAATTACAGTTGTTTTACCACAAAAAAATGTGTTTGGGTATGATAAATTACTACAATACATTACTGTTAGATGATTACTGTTACTTAATTTTATTACTGTACACAGTATTTGCTCTAGTTTTTAAACATGTAGTACTTGATGATGTTCTACTTACTTTTTGTTTTAAGAGTACATTAAACAGGCCTTATGGACCTAAGCCACACCTCTCAGATTTTGTTGCCAAGGTCCCACAAAAAGATAGCATAAACGTATGAATTTGTGGGACAATCTTGTAATCTCAGCAATGTTCTGATTGGTCAGTTGTTAAATTTGATTGTAGAAAGATCAATTGTAGAATGATATGATAAAAACTTGTCCATGTTTTTTGTTTTATAAAAATCTGGGACTTATTTTTATATCACCTCCATACTTTTTATCTTCAATTGTAATTGATGTTTCCAGTTTCATACAATATGCATTCCATCACTCATCCTTCCCTGTCTATATCCATTATTTATTCTTCACTCCTTAACACTGTCACATTCCTTTCTCCATTAAATTGTCGCAAAATTGTGATCATGTTTTCACCAGACTTCTTGCTGTGTTTTCTTCAGTATTGTAAAATTTGTCCTATGCAGAGAGTGGCGTAATGCAATGAGTCAGGGGCATAGACCTATGGGGGTCACTGGAACAACAGGGCCCCAGAAAATTCATCGACTTAGCATTGTTCTTTATTAAGCAGAATGTGTAAACAACATAGATACGCCCTGAAAACATAAACAATTTCCCGTGCACCAGAAATAAGCCAGGTGCCAAAGGCCTCTTTGTCACTTATACTCCTGGTCACAGACATTTAAAGACTAGCCAATTATTTACAAATTCAGATACACAGTTTTAATTGCTTTAATCATGTCTTTGATAAATTATAACACATTACCTATTCTATATAGTAGAGTACTATGTTTCAGTAATTTTTTCAGGATATATGCAATGTATAAATATCAAGTCTATCTCAACGAACATAAACCTTTGATGCAAAATGGTAAAAAAATAATTTGTTATAAATTATTTACAGATTATATACAATAATAGATAGCGTCATTAGTTAAAAAGGTCTGTACAATATTATATCATATGTTATTATTCAAGTATTATATTCATATATAATGCTTAAGAATCTATGTCTTTAATAATCATAAAAAAAAGGGTAAAGGAACATTGGTATGAGTCTATTATTCATGCTTAAAGTGTACTCTATATAGAAAAAAAAGTCATCCATATGTGGTTAATATTATAGGCCTACAGATATTATAGCATTAGAATCGTACAGGTTTGCACAATTGAATATCATGATACCAAAACCAGTGATGCATACTCCAGGAAATTATTGTTAGTTCACAATATTGACATAAACAGTCTATTTCCGTCAACAATAACAATGCTTGGAAAATTGTGTTTGAAAGAACTTTGACACACAAATTTGAGCATAGTTAGTCCAAGCCTCAGAATCCTTCAAACAAATTTTAAAATAATTTAAAAACCATATTTGAAATGTTGGACACTCAAAAAGTGAGTGTCCAACATTTCAAATATGGTTTTTAAATGATTTTAAAATTTGTTTGAAGGATTCTGAGGCTTGGACTAACTATGTTCTATGATTAATTTATATTATTTTTGTCTTTCTTTATGTTTCTTGTTTTTTTGTTTCGGTTAAGGACCACAATGGAATGAGCACTTCTGAGCTTTTTTGCAATTTTTTGTTGTGAATTTGTGAAATCACTGAATAAATTGAAATGAAATGAAAGTATACTCTCTTAAAAAAACTACATAAATATTTTGTATGCAAAATATCACTTTTATTTTTCTTTTTTTTTTATAATTAAGTAGGCATACTTTTTAGTAATTGAGATTGTCAAAGCATTTATTGAATGCAAAAATTATGTTACAATATTAATTTTGATACATTTGGGACTTTCGCATTTGGTTACTTGATGTAAATCAAGTTAAAATGTACTAAAAGTCTTGAGCAAATTGTTAAAAAGTTGTCAAAACACATAAACAATTAAATTTTATTACACATGTACTGTTCCTGTTTCACATGACAGAAAGGTACTACCGTAACTATTAAGAAATTCTAGAAAGGTATAAAAAGACATATTCTTGTAAGAATATAGTATCTTTCATCTCAGTAAATTAACACAGACCTCATGTTCCTGAGATATCCAGCAAGGATCTGTGTGCGGGGTTAACAGGGCTCAGTTAATCTTTCACTTTGACTTTGCGCATATCTTCTCTGTCTTTGTATCAATTGTACAGACTTTTCAAGATTAGTATTTACCTGTAGTTATGTAGGGAAGTATCTGAACAGATATCCCTGTTAATATTTAGTACATTTTCTGTCATGTGAGTAGGGTGTTATTCAAACAAATATTGTTTCGTCAATTTCTTCCGGAATATGATAATGAAATATACAATAAATTTTCTGAAGTGTCTTGAACTATATATCAGGTGTCTTATGCTATCACAGAAATGGATGCATAGTGCTAAAAAATGTCACAAATAATAGTACTTTCTCAGGCATAAGCCCACCCGCTACTTTATGTCCAGTTTCACACACCAGGAGCCAAGGATTTGATTTGAATTAGTAGCTCAGCTGACTTAATTTGTGCGTGCAATGCTGAAAAATTGCCTCCCAATTTGCTATTAATTCAAACAATTTTTTGTTGGTAAAAGGTACAATTTGGCCTATCGGCAAAATGGGCCTAATTTCTTGTTCAATAAGGTGGGCTTATACCTGAGGAGCTATGGTACTGGGCGAGTCAAGTGGGCGAGTCAAGTGGGCGAGTGGTATGGCAGGGGCACTGCCATCTTAAGCCTTAACATTGGTGCTGGTTGTTTCAATTGGAAGTCTTCTCGGGTAAGTACTTAAGATAGAGGTCCAGTGTACATATCTGACTTGTGTGCACTTTAAAGAATCCATTGCATCTTATCAGAAGAGAAGAGGTTTACCCTGTTGCTTTAGATCATTTCAGTCACATTCATGGAATGGTGTGAACATAAAGCTACCATATGCAGCTCCACTGCTGCTAGGTAGTCATGGGCCTCACCCTAATTGAATTAAACACAATGACTTGAGATATATAGCACATTTTAGCCAACGGATGCAAGGCGCTCACCAACTACCCTAGTCAGATGCACAGTGTGTAACTTCACCCTGTTGCATTTCAGGGTTATTGCACCTCTGAGCACACCTATCACAATCTGTAGAGACACAATGCATTTACAGTGCCTTGCCCAAGAGGAAAACTGAAGGCTTGCTTATACACCACATACTTCCAGCATTATTCATTATCAGTGATACGAAAATCATAATACACACTATTGAATGTTTTGTGAACGATTTTTTTTCGAGTAGAAATGTAGTGTTAATATACCATATGCCTACTCAGTGTATACGTTTCATATTACATCAACAACTTCATATAAAAATTATCCAGGAAATTATTTTAAGATATCTGTATCACTATTAGTTGCACAATTCCATTGACTGAAAGAAATAATCATTGATAAATGTTAATGCGGTGAAACCTTGAGGTAACCCTCTATATCTTCTTTTATGGTCTCTTGTTGCCCTTTAGATTGATGTGCTAATGGAAGCTTTGAGTGGACCGGTGTCTCGGCATACAGCGTAGGTGCCGCCTCCTCCTCTTCTGCTGATCTGCCACTTGCCATTGCCATGTATCCGTCGAGTACAAATGACGAAAGCGGTTCATGTTCGTTTTTGGTTGCGAGCGTATATGATTCGTTACGCGGTACATTAACACACACGTATGTATCTTGTGAAGCTGGGGTTGCTGGACTTGATTCCAGAATATCTGACAGTTTTTTGGCAAGGCCATCAAAGGAGGGTCTTGACTGTGGGCAAAAGCCCAACATTGCTGCATGATATGGTACCTAAACACAAGCAAAACCAAATAATAAAACAACTATTCATTTACATAATAATTTTGAGTAAAAGGTGGGAATGCAACTTGAAAGAAAAAAAGTTTCAACAAAAAAATAACAATATTCTCAAAATAAATTGTAGCCAAAAAAGATGTAGCTTGGTGGTTAAAATGTTTGCCTTCCAATCTCAGGGTTCTAGGTTCAAATCATGTGACCGCCAGGATTATTTTCACAAGACAAAAGATCTCCACTCCATAAGACCTCGTAATGAGACTTTAAAAAAACCCCAAACGAGTACATGCAACTGGAATTTTACCTACAGCCTGATGAATCATTAATGTACTTGCACTTCGTCAGGGCAGAACTGAGGCTGTGGAAGACGACGACCTTGTGCAAGGTACCTATTAATATCCCAGTTATCTACAGCAGGGTATGGAGTTATACCTCTTGCCAGCATTTCCCACATAACGACACCAAATGACCACTACATAAAGGAAATATTTAAAATATTATGTTATCAATATTATTAATTTGAGAGCATCTCTACTATATCGCACTGAATTATATTTTCATGTTAATGATAAATAAATGAATAGAGTGCCGATTGGAGGTGCCCTCCTGGTATTTCAACTGTAAACCAGTGGCGTGTCTAGATTGACATGGGGATTGATGGGGCACGTGAGGCATACTAGCTGGGGGGGGGGAAGGCGATATGATATATGGTGATGATGACATCACATCACATCATGACCATATATAGGCACATCACTATATATGGGCATCCAACAGTTTTTTGTCAAAGAAAATTTGATAGTGTGGAAAGAGCTTTAGTGGTTTTAATAACATTATCTTATTAGCAAATAGCTAACATTCAAAAGAAAATCATAATTTTCTGTGATTTTTGAACCACAATGCAAAACATAATCTGAATCAATACTAGAAAACAAGGCATATGCACCAGGGATGTATCATCACTTGGGGTATATACGGTACACTATATATCTCTAAACACTGATAATTATTATAAAATCATGCACTAATTATTATTTTTATTGATAAGAATCGATCAAGCCCATGATAATTTAAACTTGTTTATTACTGAAGTCCATAATACATAACACTGGTTGATGAAATAGTATTTTTCCCCTTTGAGTATGTCTGTTCATAGTGTTGAATGTAAAGCCCTGTCTAGACTATCACATTTATTTGACAAAAACATGTGACATGAATAAATATGGTACATCACATCATGGCCATACATAGCCATAGCCACGACTATATATGGGTATACAACCAATTTTGGACAGAGTTTTAGACCTGCATTGACAGTGCCTGTTTTATTTAACTGGAATAGCCGGCTCTTCAAAGATGCCCTCTAAGAACATATGAAAATTGAAACTAAAAAAAAAAGATTTATTGTCAAAATATTATAAAAATCGAAAGGACCTCTGCAGTAAAACCAATGCAAATATCTGGATCCGCCCCAGTACCCACATATTCGCGAAAGGCGGCCTTTGAGACACAGTATGCTGTTGCCCTGGCGGGGTTGAGATAAGAAAATGTATGATTATGGCACGTCTATACAAACTTACAATTGTGAATATAATTTTCTTTTTATCGTCATTTTTAATTATTTTACAAATTTGGTGGTGGATGGGAGGGGGGTCCCTTGCCGAAAGTATTCCCTCCCTTTAAATAATTTTCTTTTTATCGTCATTTTTAATTATTTTACAAATTTGGTGGTGGGTGGGAGGGGAGTCCCTTGCCGAAAGTACCCCCTCCCTTTAATCTGCCACTGGATATAATATGATATATGCCCTACAGTCTATTTCAGAAACCATCATGGTGTTATGTATCAATAAAGTCACTTTGGTCGGTACTAGATCGAGGAACATATGGTAGGGCCCCTTTGGAGCCAGGAGTCGGGGGCCCTGCGGACCTCAGCATGAGATCGCTGAGGCGTTATATCATTGCCGGGGTGGACATATTGCGTGATGTCCCGACGGGAACGTAAGAGGCAGAACCATGGGCCTCTTAAAACCACTTAGAGAAAATCCAGGTAGACTTGACGACAATTTAGAAAATTGAAAGGCTAATTAATCTACCATAATATCTGTAAAAATTACATTATTGTTTTTTTATTCACGAAGCAGAGAAGGGTGTTGGGGTAGCTCTCTCTGGCCCTAGTTCTCTTATCTACCGTAAGTTTCCCAGAATATATTAACAACAACCAGGTGAGAAGCAAATAGCGCCATCCAAGCCTAATTGATGTTCTATTTATAGAAAGCGAATTATCCGTTATACCAAAGAGCAATATAACTAGAAGGTACTTTGTATTTTGTCACTTCCTGGGCTGGGATTGAATTCATAGGACTGGGCTGCCGTAAGGATATATATTGCCATTATAAAAATTGAGATCGGCGTGTACTTATCCAAAATGGCTAAACAATTTCTGATAAACTACGATCAATTGAAGGTGATATCAAATCTTCCTAGCGGGAGCGCCTCACGCAAGCTACAAAAAGCCACACTGACGACAGACGATGGTAAAACTTCAACAGTAGTAACGAAGCGTTATGACGATTTTAAACAAAAGGAGATTGACGTTCTTAGTCAGCTCGATCACAAACATGTGATTAAATTCCTTGGCGCAGTAGACACAGATGACAAAAAGATGCTTGTTATGGAATATGCCCCAGATGGAAACCTTTACGAGTATATCAAGGAGCATAGACAACAGAACAAAAAACTGAGTTTTTTCCATTCCCTGGAATGGGCAAAACACATTTCCATAGGTCTCCAATATGTCCACAACAATGGCTTTATTCATCGTGATGTCAAGTCACCTAATTTCTTACTGAGTGCTGATTCTACAGAAGTCAACGGTGTGCAAATTAATGTTCTTAAGCTTTGCGATTTTGGAATCTCACACCGATACTCGGCAACACAAACCTCAACCCAGATGGGTGGATTAAGTTACGCGTGGGCACCACCAGAGGTAATTCTTGATGACCAATACTGTTCGATAATGTCTGATATATACAGTTTAGCTGTGGTGATCTGGGAGCTGTTTACTGGACATACACCTTACCAAGGATTTAACAAGCGTAATCTAATAAATAGTATTTGTGATGGTAAAACGCTCAGCACCGACAGTATCCAATGTATTGATGTCCGTAATATTTTACAAGTTTGTTGGAATAAACAAGAGGAAGACCGTCCAAATAGTGTTGAAATCGTTGTTAAAATGCTCAATAATATTGTCAATGGTAAGTTACATTACTATTAACTGTAATAAAGTATGCAAGAATAGAGAAAGAAAATGCAAACTTAGGCCTATGCACATACTAAAAACAAATAATTAGGGGTCATTCCATGTCAAATCACCCAAAAAATCTGAAAATTTTAACCACATATTTTTTGATTTTGATGAAACTTGGTGTACTTGTTTAGTGTGATCTCACAGCATCAAATCTCAAATTTTAGGTCAATCGGTTGAGGGGTTTGGGAG